CATGGCAAGTAGATGGGGAAACAGTGGAAACAGTGGCTGACTTTATTTTTGGGGGTTCCAAAATCACTGCAGATGGTGATTGGAGCCATGAAATTAAAAGATGTTTACTCCTTGGAAGGAAAGTTATGACCAACTTAGACAGCATATTGAAAAGCAGAGACATTACATTGCCAGCAAAGGTCCGTCTAGTCAAGGCTATGGTTTTTCCAGTGGTCATGTATGGATGTGAGAGTTGGACTATAAAGAAAGCTGAGTGCCGAAGAATTGATGCTTTTGAACTGTGGTGTTGGAGAAGACTCTTGAGAGTCCCTTGGACTGAAAGGAAATCCAACCAGTCCATCCTAAAGGAGATCAGTCCTGGGTGTTCATTGGAAGGACTGATGCTGAAGATGAAACTCCAGTACTTTGGCCACCTGATGCGAAGAGCTGACTCATTGGAAAAGACCCTGATGCTGAGAGGGATTGGGGCCAGGAGGAGAAGGGGACGACAGGGCATGAGATGGCTGGATGGCATCACCGACTCAATGAACATGGGCTTGGGTAAACTGTGGGAGTTGGTGATGGACAGGGAGGCCTGGTGTACTGTGGTTCATGGGGTCGCAAAGAGTCGGCCACGACCGAGCGACTGAACTGATCTGAACTGATAGCTACTAAGGATACAGTGAGTACAAGACAGACAGCCTTCTGGCCTCAGGGCCCCTGGAACAAGCTGGAACCCAGGTTACAAGACAAAACTGCAATGTGACGATAACATATAAGAGCCACTATTATTATTCCCATCTTCCAGGTGAGGACAAGGTGAACTACCTTGGTAAGATGTAGCAAAAGGTAGATTTGAACTCACATCTGGCTTAACCACTGTAAGAAACAAGTTTACTTACACAAAATGGGAAATAATACTTACCTTACAAATGGTGTGGGTAGAGATACAAAAAATCTGGCAGACACATATTAGCTCTTCAATAAATTATACTTTGTAATAATAGTAAAAATGACTCATAAACTTGAATGCAAACCCTATGTTTTTCATATCCTTAAAAATGGAGCTGCTCTTTTAATGAACTTTTACTAAAATTCTCCCCATGTAACTGCATTTTTGGAGGCTTTAAGATACACTTTTCATAGTATAACTTTAATTTACCAACAGGGCTGAATTCTACTCAGAAATCATCAAGCATATACAGGAGTCAAATGGATGTCTGTGAAGACGCTGGTTGATGGTGCTTCCCCTGGTATTTCAAATACTCATCTTAACTTTCCTGAGACATAAGTATAGTAACCCCCAATTTGATGAATGAAGAAACTAGGCTCAGAGAGGTTAAGTAATTTGCCTAAGGCCACACAGGTAGTGAGTGGTAGAGCCTTGGCTTCAACCCAAGCTGTTGCGAGCCAAGCTATTCTTTCTGTCATATAGAACTGCTTCCTATATGACACCCAAATAAAACCCTCGGGTATTTACCATCAACCTCTTCCTCAGAAAACAAAGAATGTATTGATACAAATCCTTCTCATTTGGCAATGAGGAAATCATCAATAATCAATTGCCTATTATGTGCATAATGGATGCTGGCCAAGATAAACAACACTGTGTCATTTGCTCTAGCAGAGACAAAAACAAGGAAACTGATGTCTGTAATTTCAACGACATTTTTTTGCCTTATTAGACAGAAAACCCAAGACCAATGCAACAGAGATTATGACCATGATTTGAGAGCCCAAACCTTGTTCATTCTTAATATTAACAATAAACATTTCAGAGCCTTTTACTGTATGCTGGGGATTTTCGGAGCTTTGTCACCCTCAGAAAAACTCTTTGCTAGGTAGGTACTCTCCATTATGAGCACTTTGAGATGAGGCATCTGAGCCCCGTGGCTCAGACGGCAAAGAACCGTGTACAGTGCGGGAGACCAGGGTTTGATCCCTGGGTCAGGAAGACCCCTTGGAGGAGGGCATGGCTACCTACTCCAGTATTCTTGCCTGGGGGATCCCATGGACGGAGGAGCTGGTGGGCTACAGTCCATGGGGTCGCAAAGCACTGGACACGACTGAGCGACTCACACACACCCCTGAGCCTTAACTAAGGTAAAAGTAAACAGTCTCTGGTGGATCTGGCTCCTAAGTGTCTGAGCGGGGTTTTGCACTCACCAGCATTTCTCTGCTAGTCCTCCTCAATTATACAGCTCCCTGAGTCAAAACTACACTGTTAAGTTGAATACTAGGAATAAGACCTGGGACATCTATGTTGCCTGTCTAGAGTGAGGTCTGCAAAAAGCAAGGCACACAATAGTGATATTGTAGGTAATGTTCACTGAGCATCGCTCTAAGAACTGTAGATGTGTCATTCTCACAGAGACCCCACTGGATTGGCCCTTTTTATTACTGCTCTTTCCAGGAGACTTGAGCTTTACTGTGTGGTTGGTTCTCACACCGTCCGTTCGACAGATGTGGAAACTTAGTCTTTCCAGATTCCACAATCAGAAAGGAGATCTCGGAGTTGAGCCAGAGCTTTGAAGCACAGAACTGCGTATTAGCGTGTGATACAGTTGAGAGTTCTGTGATTCTCAGCAGAGAAGACGCAGCCGTCGCTTCGCCCTCATCACACAACAAACTCACACGCATGCGCACACACATACACACAGACTGTCATCTGCGGTCGCTTGGTGTGAGGGCTGGAGTATAATTATCCATTCAGGACTCGGTAAGAGTTCCCAGAACAAAGCAGAGGGCCCGGGCCTGTCTCGGTAATGATGGTGGGCATTTATGAGGCGCTCCAAGATCTCTCATTAGCGATTCCCAGCAGCATCCCTGCCGGGGTGACTCACCCGGGCCAAGCCAAGTGAGAGCGCGCCGCTGGGACCGCCTCAAAGGCCTCGTTTTGCCCTGAGCTGCATCTCATCAAGGATGGGTAAGTGTGGATGTCAACAAAGGTTCAAAGAACCAGGACTGTTTCCTCTGCAATCCAGACTTTTTCCACTGGACAGGAGAAAACAATTTCCCCGAAATAGAAAATTTTGTTTAGCTGCTCATTCATGTCGACTCTTTGTGACCCCATGGGCTGTGGCTCGCCAGGCTCCTCTGTCCATGGGATTCTCCAGGCAAGAGTACTGGAGAGGGTTACCATTTCCTTCTCCAGGGGATCTTCCCCATCCAGGGATCAAAGCCAGGTCTCCTGCATTTGCAGGTGGATTCATTACCACTAAGCCTCCTGGGAAGCACATCATAAACCCTAGAAAGTACACTATGTAACATACGGTATACAAGATATACTATATTACATATAGTGTATAATCTATAGCATGTGCTATATAATAGGTGCTATATAGTATATATATAGATAGCTATGTAGCTACAATACATTATATATAAATTATATTCAGATATCATATTACTTTTATTAACATGAACAGTCACTAAACTGTAATCAAGACAAATCTGAAATGACAGAGTTCAAGTTCTAGTCCGACTGTAAAAGATTTCTGGAAACCAGCTAAAAGGTTACAATAAGCTTAAACTTGCCAGGGAAGTTTAACACTAGGGATTAAAAAAAAAAAAATGCAGTCGCATAACTGAAAAGCCCTGAGAGGTGACAAAACTTCCCTCACTTCTTCCTTGGCGGTAGTTTTTGTACTGGATCAAAAGGGTGCAATAGGAACCACTTTAAAGCAGTCAGCAAACTTCTCTTCCTCGGTTAGTACAGAGTTCAACCCCTGCCGGCCACGAGGACTCTAGAAGTGGGCGTGTGTGTGCGCGCGAGCACGCGTGTGTGTCCCCGCGCTTGCTTAAGATCGACTTTGCAGGGATGGGTGAGGAAGGTGGGAACCGCGGCTCGAAGGTGCACAGGGAGGTCGGGGTCCAAAGAGTCGGAGGGGGAGACGGAGCCCCGCCTCAAGGGCAGGCCGCGCTTCTGCCGCGATCCCAAAACCACCCGAAGAGGCGACGTCGGGTGGAGCGCCCCGTGGACTACGTTGCAGGCGCTTCACTAGCCTTCATCCATTTCGTCTGCATAACAAAACGGAGCACTGGGGAGGAAATTCGCGAAACTTGGCGCCCAAGTTAAGACCCGAAAGTGAAATGACTTCCTCGGGTGCCTTTCACTAAGTCTCAAACCCTCCCCACCTCGGGAGGTGCAGAAACCCAAGCTTCCCCCAGAGGTCCGTCCGGGCTGGCAAAAACTGCTTTGAGGGGGCGCGCGGGCTCGCGGGTCTCGGCAGGCGCCCGGAGTCGCCCCGGCCGCACTCGGAGACCTCGGCCGCCCGGCCGCGAGGTTGTGCAAGCGCCGGGCGGCAGCCGCCGGGCGAGGGCGGGGAGGCGCGCAAGGCGCAGCCCCGGTGAACTCCGGCGAGCCAGCCTTCCCCGGGAGTTATCTCCGGGGTGGAGTCTGCGGCGTTCCCGCCCGGAGAGCCGCGGACCGGTCACCCGAGGCCCGGGCGCCCTCGCTCACCTCGCTGACTGCATCCTCTTCCCACCCCCAGCCACCCCGCCCCGGGCCCCGCGCCGCTCCCGGCCTGGCCAGCCGCAGCCCGGTCCGCCCCGCCGAGCGCGCTCATTGGCCAGCCGGGGCGGCCGGCCTCCATAAATACATGGTCCCCGGGCATGGAGCGGGACAGGGGGAAAGCGCTGCGCCAGCAGCATCTCTTCCACCCTCCTGGACACCTCCATTTCGGCTCCAGAACTGGAAGTAAGACTTAAAACCAACAGGCGAACTCACGTCCGTCTTCCTTCTTGCAAGAGACAGCCAGCTCCCCACTGCGCTCCTCCAGCCCCGGTGGCCAGCGCTCGGTGGGCATCCGCTCCCTGAGACTGCAGCGCGGTGCCGCGTGGAGCATCCTCGCCCAGGTCCTGACGGTTCCCAGTCCCCCTTCTGCCCTTCCCGCCGCACCTGCGGCTCCGCCTTGCCCCTCTTTCTCCGTGTATCAAGCCCCTGCAGCTCCCGGCACCTCTTTAACAACCTCGCCCTGCCGAGTGTCCACCTTCCCAGGTGCCCGGTGTCCCCCGCAGCCATGAGCTCACCCATTAGCAGCAGCCGCTCCCTTGCCGCCTTCCTGCAGCAGCTTCGCAGCCTGGGGCAGCCACCCAGACCCGTGACATCGACGGCGTGCTCGCCCCGTCGGCCGAGGGAGGTGCCCCTTTGCCCCGTGATGGAACCGGGCGAGGCGCAGGACGCGGCCACCCTGCCCGGTCCCACCAAGTGGCCGCTGCTGGGCAGCCTGCTGGAGATCCTCTGGAAAGGAGGCCTCAAGAAACAGCACGACACGCTGGTAAGTGCCCCGTCGCGCCCCGGTGCCCTCTCTCCTCCCCGCCTCGCTCTCCAAACCCTCGCCGAGGCGCGTGGCGCGGGGCGCGCGGCGGTCCCAGCTGCAGCGGTCCGCGGTCCCGGAGAGGAGGGAGGCGGGAGGAGGGGGAAGCGCTCCGGGGGCTGCCCGGGATGCGCGCTGACTTCGCGCCCCGCCCGGCGCCTGCAGGTAGAGTACCACAAGAAGTACGGCAGGATTTTCCGCATGAAGTTGGGGTCCTTCGACTCGGTGCACCTGGGGTCCCCGTGCCTGCTGGAAGCGCTGTATCGCAGCGAGAGCGCGCACCCCCAGAGGCTGGAGATCAAACCTTGGAAGGCCTATCGCGACTATCGCCAGGAGGGCTACGGGCTGCTGATCCTGTAAGTCCTAGAGGCAGGATGGGGGCTGGCGGCTGGAAGCGGGGAGGGCGCGGGAGTTAGGGTTCCCTGGGGCTGGACCCGCCTGATGGAGCGAGAGCACGGAAGCCCCTACCTGCTGCGGTCGCCGGCTCTGGCGTGGACTGGAATGGGTTGACGGACCGCCGTGCTGCGCGCGGGACGCTCCTGTTCTTTCTGACAAGTGGACGCGCCAGCCCTTTCCCTCCAAGAAACGCCAGAAAGTTATGAAGACTGTGATGTCTGGACCCCTGGGAAGGATGAGACTGTCAAGTCAGCCTGCCAGGCACTCATGTTACACAAACAAAATTATCCCTTGAAATTCCATGACCCTCTCTTGGTAGCTCAAAGGCCAGAAGTTAGTTTGTAAATTTGAGGTGTTCTGTGCATGTGCCTTTCAACCCAATTCAATGGGTTGAAAGAAGACAGAATTTTCCCTCACACAGTTCTGCTTTGCTGGTGAGGTGAGTAAGTGCCCACTCTTACTGATGGGAACTGAGGCCACTGGCCTTCCAGTTTAAGCCCAGCAAGGGCACCCCAGAAGCCCTGACTTCATCTTTCTGGCACAATCTTTGGCTCAGAGGAAAGGAGCTTATTCATCCTATTGTCACACCAGCCCCCAGTATTCCAATGCTAATATCCTCTGGCTATTTCTTGGCGTGATTCTGTGTTCATTTGATTATATAGTTAACGCACTTACAGAGCTGGAGGGATCTCCGCTTCTTCATTCTTTTCCTTTCAATTTGCTCTAAATGTAATTCTGCTTCTCTCCCAGGGAAGGAGAAGACTGGCAGAGGGTCAGGAGTGCCTTTCAAAAGAAACTAATGAAACCAGTGGAAATTATGAAGCTGGACGACAAAATCAATGAGGTTTGCAGACTGGGGTTCACTTTCCTGGTTTTCCTGGGGATGGGGGGATGTTAGTGGAGCTTCAAGCCACAGCCGCAAAGTGCAAAGGAAAAAGCAGACAATCTGAATGAATCAGGACTCCTTTTTCCTCCTCATTCCTCTTCACTTCCTCCGCCTCCAGAACTTTAATTCTTCTCGCCTGTCTTTTAAAGTAGTGTCTCCGTGGCGGAGCAGTTAGGAGCATTGACTTCGACACTCTACAGTTGGATTAGAAAGTCAGTCCTGCACCCCCACCCCAGCTATGCAGCCTAACTGTACCATTTAACTTCCTCAGTCTCCCAGTCTATGAACTGGGAGTTCACAATTCCCACTCCATAGATTTCTGTGCATGCATGCTAAATCACTTCCGTCATGTCCAACTCTGTACGACCTATGGCCTGTGGCCTGCCAGGAGCCACTGTACATGGGATTTTCTGGCAGGAGTACTGGAGTGCATTGCCGTAGCCTTGTCCAGGGGACCCTCCTGATCCAGGGATTAAATTTGTGTCTCTCAGGTTTCCTGCATTGGCAGTCTCTTGCATTTACCGCCAGCACCACCTGGGAAACCCCCGTAACTTTCTGTGAGAATTAAATGAGATGATGCTATGAAATTCCTAGGTAGTGACATTTGATCTGGGTTTTGCAGGATGAGTAAGAGTCTGCAAGCCAGAAAAGGTGGAGAAGGGCATTCAGGCAGATAGAATAGCCTGCTGGCAATATGGAGGCATGAGATGGTATGTTCAGAGAATAGTACATTTAGGGCAGCTGAAGTGAAGCTTTCTCTGAAGTGATGCTGGGCAGAGGGAAGGTCTTAACAATATTTTTGTACCATGCTAAGGTATTTAGGCATTATCTTTTAGCCAACAGGGGGCCAAAGGGGGAAGGATTTAAGCAGAGAACTCTTCTTACTTCTGTCCACTCTGGGTATTTATTTCAAACTGAACCCACACAGGATCATGTAGGTGAAAGATGACAAATTTAAACGCTTCCAGGAACCAAGTGATTAATATAAATGTGTAAGGCAGGCCTGGTAGGGATTTTGGCAAATGGAATAGTACACGCCCTTTCTAGAGGGGACAGCTGCGCCAGCTCTGGAAAATACCTGCCACATGGAAATGTAGACCCAGTGTCACCAGATTCATTCATTATTATTTTTCTTTGATGACTCAAGTGAAGTGAAGTGAAAGTCACTTAGTCGTGTCCAACCCTTTGCTATCCCATGGACTGTACAGTCCATGGAATTCTCCAGGCCAGGATACTGGAGTAGGTAGCCTTTCCCTTCTCCAGGAGTTCTTCCCAACCAGGGATCAAACCCAGGTCTCCTGCATTGCAGGCAGATTCTTTACCAGCTGAGCCACAGGGAAGCCAAGAATACTGGAGTGGGTAGACTGTCCCGTCTCCAGCGGATCTTCCCAACCCAGGAATCAAACCAGGGTCTCCTGCATTGCAGGCGGATTCTTTACCAGCTGAGCTACCAGGGAAGCCCCTTTGATGACTAGTGGAAATTAATATGTTCACATGAAATCTCTGGATGTTTTGATGGGAGCAAATTCAAAGTACCTTTTAATGTGCTGTGTGGGCTACCACAACATGCCTATTAGTTTCATCTGTGGGTTTTTGGTCCCTTGTGCCCTATTTCAGGGCTTCCTGATGGCTCAGTGATAAACCCACCTGCCAATACAGGAAGTGTGGGTGCAATCCCTGGGTTGGGAAGATGCCTGCAGAAGGAAATAGCAACCCACTGCAATATTCTTTACTGTCTGAGCCACCAGGGAAACCCCGTAACCCACTCCAGGATTCTTGCCTGGAAAATCCCAGGGACGGAGGAGCCTGGTAGGCTGCAGTCCATGGGGTCGCTGAGAGTTGGGCACAACTGAGCGACTTCACTTTCACTTTTCACTTTCACGCATTGGAGAAGGAAATGGCAACCCACTCCAGTACTCTTGCCTGGAAAATCCCAGGGACGGAGGAGCCTAGTGGGCTGCCGTCTACGGGGTCGCACAGAGTCGGACACGACTGAAGCGACTTAGCAGCAGCAATATTCTTTACAGTCTGAGCCACCAGGGAAACCCCGTAACCCACTCCAGGATTCTTACCTGGAAATCCCATGGACAGAGGAGTCTGGCAGCCTGCAGCCTACAGTCTATGGGGTCTCAAGAGTCAGACAAAACTTAGTGACCAACCAACAACAGCAACAGCTTACCCTACTCCAGACCCCAACATGGCCACTTGTTTGTGTCCAGGGGAGAGTGCCTTGGTCACTCTCTAAGCCTCTCATCTGTTACCTAGGAAATGGTAACATGTGCTTTCTACATCATGACATTATTTGAGGATCAGCTAAGATAATACCCTTTGGACAGTGCTTGGGTCCAGACAAGCTTCATTAAATGTAAAGCATTAGTCATCTAAAATCCCGATTGTGGCAACTGGCATTTAGGAACCTTCCACGACTTGCCCAAGGTGACAGAGCTGTTTAGTGATGGCACTACATCCAGAATTTACGGATTTCCTGGCTCTAAGCTTAAAGTGCTTAATACAACACCAACCAGTAAAAAGACGTTTGTGTGCCCAGCTCTGGAAGTGGGAAACCTCAGGGCAGCCAGAATCCTTGACATGCTGTGCCCACAGAGACACTTGGCCAGTTCCTCCTTCGCGGTTTATTTTCCATTCTGATTAGAAGAAATGTTTTCCTTTTCTTAAATTTAGATCAAAAGCTGAAACTTAAGCTCCAGGAAGGCTTCAGGGAAAGCTCAAGAAATAACCCCGTACCAGGGTGTCGGGGCAGGACGTGAACTCTCAAGGAGAATATATAATTAGTGATGATTCAGAATGAATAACATTATGCGCAGTGAATACACAAGGTCGCAAAACCCGGAGCTAGCTTACTGAACCTGAAACTTGCATTTCCCTTCAGTGACTGAGATGTGTCTTTGCTGATTTCTTTCTTTTAAGGTCTTGGCTGATTTTATGGGTAGAATAGATGAGCTCTGTGATGAGAGAGGCCGCATTGAAGACTTATACACGGAGCTGAACAAATGGTCTTTTGAAAGTAAGTTGTCTTCAGGTCTTGTCCGTTTGGTTTTGCAAGTGACTTTGAGCACAAAGGCAGCTCTGCTGACCACCCTTCTGTAATCACACCCCGTTGCCGACTAGGGAAGGCTGTAGCAGCCCTCTAGCTTTCAGGCCCTTCTCGCTGCTCTGCCCTGTGGATGGTTTATGGGGACGTTCAACAAACACTTATTCAATACCTGCTAATGTGCCAGGCACTGTCCTGGGGATGGGGCAGTGAGCAGGACAGGCTACATACGTCCTTGCTCACGTGGAACTTGGATTTTAAAAGAGGTGACAACCAACTAGGACACATACTTTAATGTATACTCTGCCAAGGAATCAGGGAGTCAGACAGAATGCGGCTTCCTGGTGAGGCAGGTCTGCTTGGTAAGGAGACTTTTGAGGTGAGGCCTGAAGGAGGATGAGGAACACACCACCAGCGTGTCTGTGGGGAGACTGTTCCGACTGTGGAGACAGGAGGTGCAAAGGCCCTGGGGTGGAAGCATGAGTGGTGGCTCTGAGGAACTTCTGAGGATGCTGGCTGGAGTGGATTATGGGGGGGCAGGGAGAGGAGCTGAGAGAGATTAAGCCTGAAATCCCCCAAAATAACTTCTACTTTAGGACTTTCCTGGCGGTCCAGTGGCTAGGACCCCATGCTCCCAATGCAGGGGACCCAGGCTCGGCCCCTGGCCAGGGACTGAGCCCACATGCTGTGACTGAAGGAAAAAAAAGATGATACGTGGCAACTAGGACCCAGGGGAGCCAAAGAAACAAAATGCATTTTAAAAAAAGAGCTGCTTGGAGTCAGAGGTGGAGCCGGGATCCTTCTGAACAGAAGGGGCTGGGTCACTGGCTTTGAGGACGACGCTGGGAATGAAAGCAAAGCCCTCCCTTGTGCGCGCCTCCCGGTGGGGACGAGGCGGGGAGCGAGGCGCCTTCCGTGGACGGGGAGCACCTGACTGAAGGGGCTCGGGCTGGCGGAGGGTCCCAGGGGCTGAGTGTGGTGAGGGCTGCTGCACGGAAGTGGGGCCGTCTCAGCCAAGGCCGGGGAGAGCAGGAGTGCCCCAGGGGGACGTGAGGCAGGGAAGAGCATTCCAGGTGGCAGGAGAAAGGAGGGGAAAGAAAGGAGTTCCGAGGGACCGAAGCACGTCCTGCGAGGGACACGGACGGCACAGCAGAGGATGGGAAGGCAGAGGCCCCCTCACCGATGTCTGTGTAAACCGGGGGTGGGCTGTGGTTTTGAGCCCAGAGTCCCTGGGAGCGATCGTCGCGCTTTCAGCAGGAAGGTGCCAGGGTCCGACTTGCTGGAAGGAAGCCTCACCCTTGGCTGCCGGTGTGAGTGACTGGAGAGGATCCCTCGTTCAGAGGCTTTTGTCCTGACCTGTCTCCCTGATCAGATTTACCTCGCCTTAAAGTCATGGGCAGTCAGCTTAGCACACAAGAAAGCCCCGTGCCAATGAGAAATCCACAGGAGGTGTTCAGGGAAAGAAAAGTCAAGAGAGGGGATGATTACAGAGGAGAGAAGTGTATGTTTTGGAAATTGTCCACTGGAAGTACTGAAATTAAGGAGTATCGAATGCACTTCTTTGCAAGTCAAGGAAAACCTGACCATGGTGGTTTACAAATCATTGTCCAGCGTCATGAGAAACCCTGAGGAGGCCAGTCCACAGCTGGCACTCAGCGCTGTCACTGGGGCCCAAGTCTGTTCCGTCTTCCTTCTCACTCATTCAGAGCGGGTTGCAAAACAGCTCCCGCCTCTCCTGGTCTCACCTCTGCATTCCGGGCGAAGGCAGGAAGGAAAGAGGGAAGAGCTAAGCTGGCTGCACCTGTCCCCCTTTGTCAGGAAAGCAGAAGTGCCTCCGGGAGGCCCAGTGGCTGCCTCAGGAAGCCTGGGAAGTCGGGGAGCAGGAGTGTCTGAGATCCATGCTGGCTTACTGCCTGAGGATGCATACACTGACAAGCGAAGTAAACCAGGCTTCTCTTAGGGGAGAAACAGGGGAGAATGACCATGGGGCAGTCAGCAGTGTCTGCTGCATATGGTGTCAAGGGGAAAGTGAGAAAAGCAACGCATTACAGGAGAGGTTCACTCAGGTATAAAAATGGTTGCGTCTTCACGGTGGTGTTTCTGATCAGGAGGTTCTGCAGAGGACGAGTTTTTGGACCTGGAGATAATTTCTAGAAAGAGAAGAGAGTGATCAAGCCCCTTGGCCTTAGACTGTTTGCTTCCCTGTTTTTCGAAAAGACCTCACTTTTATGGGAGACAGGCTGAGCCTTTGGTAGCCTCTAATCATAGACTCCAGTGTCTCTGTAAGGGGGTAACAGTGTTGATTACTTTAAATAACAGGCATCTGCCTTGTGCTGTACGAGAAGAGATTCGGGCTCCTTCAGAAGAACACAGGAGAGGAAGCTCTGAACTTCATCACGGCCATCAAAACAGTAAGCGTCCCCTGGGGAGAGCAGTTTCCTTGTCAGTTGTTTACAGAGCCCAACAAGCATGCATCCCAATGTTTCCCATATGTATTTTATCATAGTAGTTAAGTGTTCGTCTTAAGGTGTGTCATGTACATGAATGTATGTGCATATATTGTTGTCGTTGAGTGCTAAGTTGTGTCTGACTCTTTTGCGTCCCCATGGACTGTAACCCACCATGATCCTCTGTCCATGGGATTTTCCAGGCGAGAATACTGGAGCAGGTTGCCATTTCCTTCTCCAGGGGATCTTCCCCACCCAGGGATCGAACCCCTGTCTCCTGCATTGGCAGGTGGATTCTTTACCACTGAGCTACCTGGGAAGCACACGTGCATATACGCACATGTAATAAAGAAGCATGTTAAATCATTGGCAGGCAAAGTGAAAGTAGAAATTTCAATTAAAGGTCAGTTGATTAAAATAGTCTCTTAAAGAATCTGAAAATTTTCAGATTAAAATTGTTTGGATTGTTTAGGTTGTGTATGGAGGTGGGTGGTAGAGACTGTGAAACCGGTTTCAAGAATGACTGAAGTTTGGAAGTTATTGGAAATGGAAGTGGATATGAGGTCTATAGTTTTCTTTTTTCACATGTAGGTCATAAGATCAATTTTTTTCTGCTCACTATGTGGTTTGTGGGATCTTAGTTCCCTGCCCAGGGACCGAACCTGGGCCACCACACTGTAAGCTTAAAGTCCTAACCACTCGACCACCAGGGAATTCCCGCAAGATCAAATTTTTTATGAACCACATCCAGTGGAAACGCGTCCCAAAGCTGATTTCCACGTGTCTTTAGCAGGTGGGGACTGGTGCCGGGAGCCCGGGGCACCCCTGGGAGTGCAGCCTTAGGGAGCAGAGGATGCTTGCTTAGGACATGTCGCTCGTGGAGTGCAGGTTGTCTGTGAGATAGAGAGCAGGGGGCTGAAAGGCACTTGTGTCCCCGCAGATGATGAGCATGTTTGGAAAGATGATGGTCACCCCGGTCGAGCTGCACAGGCGCCTCAACACCAGGGTCTGGCAGGCGCACACGCAGGCCTGGGACACCATCTTCACATCAGGTAAGGAGGCCGCAGGGGCCCAGACGCCCTGGCCCCGGGGATGCTGCCGGGGGTCCGGGTGAGCGTCCTGGTCTCAGCGCCCCGCCCGTGGCTAGAGCCGCTCCTGGTGGTTCTTTCGAACTGTGCAAACGCTTGACTCTGGGGATTGCCTTGGCGCAGATACATTCTAAGAGAAAGGCAGGAGGTAGTTTTCTGTAGTCTTTTTTGAGAAATAGGAGTGATTAAAAGCAAGAGCTTCGGAGTCAAAGATTCCTGAGCTCAAGTTCCAGCTCTGTCATTGGGCATAGTGGCTTTGCCAAATACACTCTTTTTCTTAAAAAAAAATTTTTTTAATATTTATTGATTTTTATTTATTTATTTGGATGCACTGGGTCTTAGTTGTGACATGTGGCATCTAGTTCCCTGATCAGGGCTGGAACCCAAGCCCCCTGCATTGGGAGCCTGGAGTCTTAGCCACTGGACCAGCAGGAAGTCCTCACTCTTTTTCATTCTCAGTTATCTTGTCTTTAAAATGGGCTAATAATAGTAGTAGCATTAATAGTATCTACAGTTAGTAGTATGGATCTCAGTGCAACTGTTTTTAAGTCTAATAAGGATAATGTGAAACCAGCGTAGCACAGTGGCTCAGTGGATCAGACCTACTTCTGGTATGGCGTGGAGGGAATATTTGGTGCTAAGAATTTCTGTAGGATCACACATACACACACACACACACACACACATTCACACACACACACATGCACACATAAACACACACACATTCACCCACATACATGCACACACGCATTCACACACACATACACACATATTCACACATACACATTCACAGACACATTCACAAAGACATATACAACACATTCACACATATACAACACACATACACACACATTCATTTAATTCTCACAAAAATCCTATAAGATAGGTCCTCTTATCAGACCCTCTTATCAGAAATGAGACACAAGGAAGTTAATACCTTTATCAAGATTGCCTACTAGGTGATGCCAAAGACAGGATTTGAGGTCAGACAGGAGGACTCTGGAAGATTCAGCTCTAACTAGTCCTGTCGTTTCTGCCGTCGTCACTGTGATTGTTGTTGTGATGGTGGCTTCCACAGTGGGTCGACGGGAGGGAGATGTCTCTCTAGAATGCACTTTGCGAACAGCAGAGGCGTCCGCCGTTACTGCCGACAGGCGTGGGCTCTGCCCTGGGCCTGCACGTGTGTGCTGCTGTTTGCTGCCAGGGGAGGGGTTCTCCTCTCTGCTGATTTGGGAGCCAGGGCCCGCTGCCTCTGTTACTGACTGTGAGTCCCGGTTCTGATCCTGAGAACGGATCCAAATCCCACCACTGTCTCACGATGATCTCTCCTGAACTCTCGGCGCTCCCTACTCAAAACACGAGCACAGACCCAGCATCGGCACTACAGGGAAGCCTGCTGGAAACCAGACTTCCAGGCCCACCCTGGACTCCTGAATCAGAGTTTGCATTTTAAGAGGATTCCCAGGGGACCCTTGTGCTCACGTAGGCATTGGTCAGTCCTTGGTGACTTAGCAACAAGGCAACATTAGCTTACCTAACAAATGGTCAGATTGCCCACAAAGAGCCTTTGGACGTTGCAGGGAGAATTGGATCCTGGGTTCTGCTTTGTTCTTTTCCTCGTCCTGACTTTCAGCTGATTTCCTCCCCTCTTTTCTCTCCTCCAAAGTCAAAGCTTGTGTGGACAACCGGTTAGAGAAATACTCTGAGCAGCCCAGCATGGATTTGCTTTGTGACATTTATCACCACAATCAGCTTTCAAAGAAAGAGCTGTACGCGGCCATGACGGAGCTCCAGCTGGCTGCGGTGGAGACGGTAAGGGTGGGCCTGGCTTGGGTTTACTAAATCAATGGGCTGTAAAATCTTTTTCACAACAAATTGTACATGGTCATTCAATTCTCCCGTTCCATAAGGATGTGCTGAGCTTTAAAAGCTTAGCAGAAATAAAAAGTTTACTCGAATATGTGGGAGACCCCGTGCACAGCCTGTGTGCGTAAACATGTGATAGAAAAATTCATGTGCTTTAGAGACAAAAAGGGCTTCCCAGGTGGTGCTAGTGACAATGCAGGAGATGTAAGTCGTGGGTTCAGTCCCCGGGTCGGGAAGATCCCCTGGAGGAGGGCATGGCAGCCCACTCCAGTGTTCTCGCCTGGAGAATGCCGTGGACAGAGGAGCCTGGTGGGCTACAGTCCAGAGGGTCACAAAGAGTCACACACGACGGAAGCAACTTATCACACATGCAGGGAAAAAACCCAGAGCAGAGTATCAGTGTCGTGACAGATGTGAAAGCGACTACAGGAATTCAGAGGCAGCGAAATTCTACACTGCAGCAAGGTGGATGATCTAGGTTTTTAAAAACTGGATATATTTTAGGTAGTTCTGCCTCTTACCAAAGTGCCTCACTGTGGTTGATATTTAGTCTAAAAATGCTGAAGTAGTCTCTGCTAGTCCGATATTTCTTTTCCACTTAAAATTGTCAACAGAGGGAGCTTGAGAAAACTTGATCTCAATTTCAACGAAGCAGCTAATTTTATTTTACTAGTGTTTTAAAATACTCGTGTATTTTATTGTTGGCTGCGCTGGGCCTTCGCTGGTGCGCGCGGCTTTGCTCTGGCCGGAGCGGGCGCTCCTCACTGCGTGGCGTCCCTAGTGGGGAGCGCCGGCTCTCGGGCGTGCGACCCGGTGGTTGTAGCAGACGGGCGCAGCTGCTTCTCGGCACGTGGAGTCTGCCCAGACCAGCAGTCAAACCCGTGTCTCCCACACTAGCAGATAGATTCTTAACCACTGGACCACCAGGGAATTCTGAAACAGCTAATTTTAAAAGCCAAAATTCTGTCCTTGCTATGGTTGATATTCTTAGTAAGTACACAGCACAGCCAAGCTCCAAACACAAATACTGACGGTGTTCAGGTGAGTTTCGGTATCTTTGATTCATTTTCTGAGCCGTCTTTGGAGGGATAATATTAATATTCCTTAATGGCCCAGCACCTCTCACACAACTGTCATCTCTGAGAAAAATGTATACTAGGTCATTTCTGTTCCATGTTCGATGGTGTCTCTGATCTGAACAAAAAGGAGGATTTTCTACATCAGGGAATAGCAAGGTTCTCATTTCTCTGCATACTCCAGAAGACTGTGAAAAGTGGGAACTTCAGCTTATTTTCCCATTAGCTCTCTTACTCTGAGAGGCTCCTGAAAGTGATAACAGCGAAGCTTCCCCCTTATTCTTTTTTTCCATCTGTAATGTGAGTTCCATAGGGGTGATGACTTCGTTTTTTCCCCTGCTGTATTCCTTGGATGTGGAATAGAAGTTGGCACATAGTAGGTGTTCAGTAAATACTTGTTCAATAAATGAAAGCATTTAGGAACTATTGAGTATCTACTATGTGTCAGGCACTGTTCAGGTACCTAAGAAACCACAAAGAACCAGTTCCCCTCAAGGAACTTCAGTGCTGTGCGGAACCGACAATAGACATGTAAATGACCAGTGAGAGAGCATCGTTTCAGATAGGGGTCCAGGCCCTGGAAGAAGCCATCAGGGTGACGTCATTGAGAGGCAGGGGAGGTGGTCCCTCTCTGAGGATGTCGTAATGGAGCTGACGCTGGAATAATGAGGAAGCAACCAAGGGAAGATCTGGTGGAGGAACATTCCAAGTGGAGTGAACAGCACATGCAAAGGGCCTGGGGCAGAAAGAGGGTGGCCTGAGGAACTCGCGCATGGAGTCAGAGCTGACTTAGGAGAAGTCTGTGGGTTCTGTTAGCCAGGAGCCTTAGTAAGATGGGGCATCTCTGGTGGCTCAGATGTAAAGAATCTGCCTACAGTGCAAGAGACCCAGATTCAATCCCTGGGTAGGGAAGATCCCCTGGAGAAGGAAATGGCAACCCATTCCAGTGTTCTTGCCTGGAGAGTTCCATGGACAGAGGAGCCTGGCGGGCTACAGTCCATGGGGTAGCAAAGAGTCAGACACCACTTAGCAACTAACACTTTTCACTTAGTAAGATGTTTGGATTATTACTCCTGTGATGAAAAGCTCTTGGAGCATTTTAAACAGGGGAGTAATTTGATCAAATTGAGGTTTGGTAAAGTGGTCTCCCCTGGTGGCTCAGTGGTAAAGAACTCACCTGCCAGTTCAGAAGATGCAGGTTCAATCCCTGGGGCGGGAAGATCCCCTGGAGGAGGAAATGGCAACCCACTCCAGTACTCTTGCCTGGAGAATCCCATGGACAGAGGGGCCTGTGAGGGCTACAGTCCCTGGGGTCGCAGAGAGTCAGACACGACTTAGCAAAACAACAAGAGTGGGCTCTGGCTGGTGGATGGAGAGTGGACCCCGCCAAGAGAGAGCAGAAGGGGGAAGGCCAGCGAGGAGACAGGTCTCCTCCGCAGAGGTCAGGCCAGGACACTCTGCGCCCCCGAGGTTTCTGAGGCTGCTTGCCCTGCGTCCAGCCCCTGCAGTGAGCCCCACAGGCCAGGGCCGTCCTTCAGGGCTGTGGTGGAAACTGCAGTTATCCGCCTTTTGGGAACTCTGCTTGGCGCTTGCGGTAAGGGACCCACTGATACGGGCCAATCTGTCTCTTTTTTCGTCCTGGCTATTCTGAACGTTGCATTTGGAAAATCAGAGAAATCTGAAAGTGTATCTAATTTGGTGGCTACGCCCTCTTCCTGTTTTGAAAATCGGCCTCTTGTAATAATGACATCCACGGTTTATTTGAAGCCGAGGCTGCCAGTCCTCTGACATGAAGAAGGCTTCTTGGAGGCATCTTCTTCCAAAAATAATAAATACCATCGGCTCCAAGTTGTCCTGCACTTTGCTCATTTGTGTGAGTGACACATAGCACTTAGCTAAAGCGTCTTTGTGTCTGCTGAGAGAGGACACAATGACCATTTTTATGGGAATATTTGGCTTAAATTAGCCAAGAATAGGCCTAAAAACAAATATATAAGACTACCAGTGGTGAGTATTATGAAGCTAAAAGCTGCACTGGCTGTTTCTGCCAGTATTTTTTCTCTTCTCCTTGCCTTTGGAAAGAAAATAAAGGATGCCACTTAAAAGGCCATGAATGTCTTTGTCAGAATTGTGGCTGCTTCCTTGAAATACTCAACTTGATGCTAGAATTTCTTATTTTGGTGTTGGCTGCCTTCTACCAGGGCTCTTTGCTTGAGGCTGAAACTCTGAGTATAGATAATGCCTTTTTATTTTATGGGAGCTTTTGAGGGTATGGCAAAAAAAGGGGGGGGTGCTTTCTTTTAAATTCCAGAAATGCAGTTTCTTGTGCATTTGCAGTGAAACATTTTTTAAAAACCCATTTTTATCAGTAACACTCCTAGGATCTCCATCTGTCTCTCCCCACTCAATTTTCATATTATTTTTTAGATTAAACAATTAGCAAATTTTATTTTGAGGTATTGTAGATTCACTTGCAGTTCTAAGCAACAATAGAGAGGATTCCTTCATCCGGCTCCCCCAGTGGTGACATCTCATGTAAGACAAACTTACAGCAACCTGAAGGTTGATGTTTTACAATCACCCGTCTGACTTCTCATCTCCCAGTTGTACATGTCCTCATCTGTGTTCCATTTTTATACCGAGCTATATTTTGTGTCTTAATGCAGCTGTCTAATCAAAGAATTCTACTCTGATTCCCTCAGGAAATAAGCTATTATTCATGGAAGTGTTTTATACACTGAATCTGACTTTTCATATATGGTATTTGTTTGAGACACAGCCAAGAAGGATGTGTGAAAAAGCATCCCTCATGTTTTCACGACAAGGTGCTAGGCACCGCCTTTGGTTCAGCTGATACAAGTTTTAAGCCAGTTTATTTACAGAAAACTCAAGTTTATGTCCATTTGGCTTTCAGACGGCAAACAGCTTAATGTGGCTTCTCTACAATTTATCCCGTAATCCCCACGTGCAACAAAAGCTTCTTAAGGAAATTCAGAGTGTGTTGCCTGAGAAGCAGTTGCCACGGGCAGAGGATTTGAGGAACATGCCATATTTAAAAGCCTGTCTGAAAGAATCTATGAGGTAAGAACACGTGCCTAAGCTAATATGAATGTCAGAGGGCTGTTCTCGCCAACACATAATAAGGGACCCCCCTCCCGTAGTTGATTCATAAACATTTAGCAAGCTCCAAAAAAAGAAAACTCCAGGACCATACTCCTTTCCTATGACTCATTCCTTAAATCATTTGGGCAAATTCTATTAAATCTTGGAAACCCAGAGTCTGCCCCTTTAAATCAGTAATAATAATACTTGAATGGATACTATAAGCAATAATTAAGATTAGGGGCAGAAGTGAAGGAAGTGAGATGAAAGCTCAGCGAGGAACCATATTATTATACAACAAGACATAGAGACGTGCTGGTTTCTGAGCCTCTGTGTAAAATGGTCTTTGAAGATTCTTTTTTTTTTGGAAAACAAAACTCATAACATCTTAGAATTAGAAGGAAATATCTTTAACTTTACGAAGGGTAGATAGAAGAAACCCGGGACAGACAGCAAGCTTGCGGGTGAGGCGTGTAAACACACACATTTGAAGTCTAGAGTGAAACGGGGAAATCACTGTTAACAGCTATGAAGTAAGCTTACACTTGGGGGTTTAACCAACACAATAAGGAATAAAAGCAAGAGGCAAATATTGGGAAGACAGAGAACTCCTTTGTAAAGAGTTGGAGGCGTGTCCCCTTTATGAGAACTTAGGCAGTGATTGTTTATTTAGCCAGACTCTGAATTGCCGTGAGCTCAGACTTGGTCTGCGCCCACCTTGGCATCTCTGATTTTGTGTTTTCAGGCTTAACCCGAGTGTTCCCTTTACAACGCGGACTCTTGACAAGGCGATGGTTCTGGGGGACTATGCTTTACCCAAAGGAGTAAGTAAAATGTGTACAGTCTATACCTTGCAGAGCTTTGAGAGAAACCCTCTTCAAATATCCAGCAGATCTCCTGAAACATTTCTACTGGGAGAGCATTGATTTTGGAAAAATGTAGACTGCAGTATACAGTTGATGTGTCATGTAGTCTAGTATTAGGAATAAGGGTTATGAAGACAGAGAGACCTGGATGCAAGTAGAGCCTTGAGTGAGTTACATAACTTGTGTGGGCCTCAGCCTTCTCATCTGTAAAATGGGAATACTAATAGAACACACGTGGTTGTTGTGAAAATAAGATGCGAAATTTTAAGGTTCTTGAAGTATTTATCACCTGGCACTTTTCAAGCACTCAATATATGCTGGCATCATTCATTGTTGTTATGTATTTGTGGGTTACTTTCACATGTGTAAGGTGATGGCTTTTGTAAATTTTGCTATTCAAACGTTTCAGTGCTTTATGTTTCTGTGTGATTTTAGACTGTGTTGGTTCTAAATACCCATGTGTTGGGATCCAGTGAAGAAAACTTTGAGGAATCAAGCCAGTTTAGGCCTGAACGGTGGCTTCAGGACAAGAGAAAGATCAACCCTTTTGCCCATCTCCCCTTTGGCGTTGGGAAGAGGATGTGCGTCGGTCGCCGGTTAGCTGAGCTCCAGCTCCACCTGGCGCTCTGCTGGGTAAGACCCTGGCAGCGTCTCCGCGGCTGTGCGCTGGGCGGCTCCTCAAGGCGGGGCGGAGGGGCCAACTCCCGTTCCTCTGCTCCTGTGTTTCAGATCGTCCGCAAATACGACGTTGTGGCCACGGACCTCGAGCCTGTGGAGATGCTGCACTTGGGCATTCTGGTGCCCAGCCGGCAGCTCCCCGTCGCTTTCTGCCAGCGATAGGAAGCCTCAGGTGGGCATCTGGGGCGCAGGGTGGCCAAGGGTGAGCCGAGCTGGGGAGTCAGCCAGACGTGGGCTGGATCCCTGCTTGCCGGTGGCTCACCTGGTGACCTGAACAGCTACTTAACCTTTCTGCCTGAATTATTCTTTTCATCTGTTATGTGGGGACCAAAATAGTATCCATCCAGAAAGTTGATATGAGTACAAAATACATAACCCAGAGCCTAGCATCAAATGAGCGCTCCATAACACAAGCCGCTTGTCGTGGGGTTTGCATGTGAATCTCAGGGCGTGGGACTTCCCAGGTGGCACTCGTGGTGAAGAACCCACCGATGCAGGAGACGTAAGGGACACAAGTCCGATCCCTGGGTGGGGAAGACCCCCTGGAGGAGGGCATGGCAGCCCACTCCAGTGTTCTTGCCTGGAGAATCCCGTGGACAGAGGGGCCTGGCGGGCTGCAGTCCGTGGGATTGCACAGAGTCGGACACGACTGCGGTGACTGACACACACGCACACGTCGGGGTTGGAGACAAACTTTTCCGGTAAAGGACCAGTTGGCAGTATTTTAGGCTTTGCAGGACGCAGATGTCTTTCTCATATCCACTTAACGCACCTTGCTGCAGCCTTGGACAACTGGTCACTCAGTAGGGGTGGCTGGTTCTATTGGTTTTCCACTGCTGCCATAGAAAATTACTAAAAGGAATTACTTAAAATTACTAAAACTTGTGTTATGTAGCATTTATGATTTTATCCTTCTGTAGGCCAGAAATCCAACACAGCTCTTGCCAGCCTTATTCCAAAGCGATAATTTCCTTCATGAATTAGTGTTTTTTTGTCTACTTATTTCCACCTAATCCACAGTAAAGTGAATTTTTAACTATTAAAGTGATAAAAAGTTAAGCTGAGAAATCTCCATTATCAGCTTATGTGGAAATACGACAGCTGACACACAGCTTTATAGAATTAGATGTCAGTGGTGAAACTCAGCTCAATCACGCAGCCCTTTTAACGGCGTCACCTACAACTTTCCTCGAGCTAGTTGCTGTTTGTTAAGAGCAAGTTGAGGGGGACTTGCCGGTAGGAGGATTCTTTGGGAAACATGCGATTTCGGATGAAATCTCTGAATGAGGCCCCATGAATGCCTCCCTTGGTGTCTGATGCTGCTGCTGACAAGCGCTCAGTCATGTCTGGCTTTGCGACCCCATGGACTGTAGCCCACCAGGCTCTTCTGTCTGTGGGATTTTTCTAGGCAAGAATACTGAAACGGGTTGCCATTTCCTACTCCAGGGGATCTTCCCCACCCAGGGATTGAACCCATGTCTCTTACATCTCCTGCATTGGCAGACAGGTTTGTTTTTATTTTTAAACCACTAGTGCCACCTGGGATGCCCCAGGTGCCTGATACCTTTAGGCAGTTTGTCAGATTCTGAACAGGGCAAGAAGCAGAGCTGAGTCACGTAGGACCACGGAGGAATTCTAGCTTCATTGTGAAGCTCCAGTCTTCAGCTTGGACACCATGCACGGTTACTCTGGTAAAAGACAAGAGCCCAGGCCACTACTGGTGTTAGCATTTATTTTTGCTAATCAGCCCTTTTGTTTAATTATACTGCTCTGATGTATAACTGGAGTATACTTTATATTTCAGTTTTTTTTTTTTTAACCAAGAGCAAAAGCAAGAATTTTGACCCTCCCGCAAGAAGGAAGTTTTGGGCTAATCACGACTGGAAAGCAAAGGTGGAGAACCAGAGCATGAAACGACACGTAAAGAACATTTGGGCTCAGACGTTTACGCTCCGTCTTCTGTACCGTTGTCCCAGAAACTGTACTGCCCGTGTCGCTGATGGTGCTAAGACTGCATCGGGCTCGGGGAAAGCAGACGGAGTGCTGGGAGACCCGGCCCTCCGCAGGGAGCACACGCCGCGCACACGAGACTCACACAACGATGTCGGCACCGCCCTGGTGGCGCAGGCTTGCTCATCTTGCTATTTAGTCTTGCATCTTCCGTGACACGACGGAGCAGCTGGGTGCCTCTCTCTTAGTCAGGCGAAAGTCATTACATGTTTCTGGCCCTGCCGTGTCAGACTCACCGCTGAAATCCTCACTTCTCAAAGTTCACACTTCACAGTGAAAGATCTCCTATAGCCGGATTGTCGGCGGCTCAGGGTAATATTGGCAATCCATTTATTGTAACTCTGCTTAATATAATGTTTGGGGAAATACTGTGAAATGATGGAAGCAAAACTAAATGTTGGTTCATGTTATCTGGTCCCTATAAAACTGTTTTTTTTTTCTTATTTTGAAATAGAAACATTATTGAAAAATTAGAGAAAATCTCTATGCTAAGAACAACTTTAATGAAGTCAAAACTCCTGTTCAAGGATCTGTTAATGATTTACCATGCATCCTTGTGTTAAAGGATCATGAAATTATTTAATTATGACATTGCATCTATGTAATCTATGATATTAAGGTGTGGATCAACAGTTTTTAAATTGTGTGTCCTAATGACAATTTGCTTACATCATTTAAAAAATGTATATATATTATTTAGGATCTGAAGTTTATTTAGAGCAATGTTCTAAAGTTTAGTTATAGCTTAAAAATATTCAGTGACGTCCCCTGCCTTAATTTTCCCAGCTGTAGAATGAGTCAGTAGTAAAGTGTGCAGGCATTATAGATTATGTAACTCGTGTTAAGTGATTTGAACTCCTTGGGAAATTGTGATTTAGTATACGGAAAATACATATAGATTTAAGCAATACTTATAAAACTTCCTTAAAAATTATGTTTACATACAGTTTATTTGCATGTTTTTACTACTACTTTTCCTAAAAGCATACTATATATTTCTGTATATTTGATAAATATTTCCCTTTTTAGGTTGTATCTTCAGACTATTTCAGAAGTGTACATTTATATCTTCATATATGAATGAATATGTACATATCATTAAAATGGGTTTAAGCTTCCTGTTGTGAAAGTTTTTAGAATTATAAATCCACATGTGTTGTCAGACTTCATCTGTATATCTTCTTTGAATTCTCTGAAAGTAAGAATAAAATCTTTAAAATATGGGAGAGATGTTTTCTCCTTCATTGCATGTCTTACAACCAAAGTTAAACATTCAAACTTTGTCTCACTAGAAAATTTTGTACAATATAACATTACAATAACATAGCAGTTTTACCAAAAGATGCTCATTTGAATGGCAAAATAATTTTCGTATTTCTTGCTGCTTAAATGTTTTTTCAAGTCCGTTTCCTTCTGTCTGCTGCCTCCTCCATGGGGCCACTGCGGAAACCGCCAGCCTGTCTGCGCGCTCCGCCCTTGCAGGCTGCTCGTGTCTGTTGGCCGTATGCTGGTCTTTCCAAGACCCAGGCCCGCCTGCATGCCACCCTACTTCGCGGGCATTCCACGCTCCTCCGTGAAGACCCGAGTCCTTAAGCTGGACTCCAGTGTCTTGTGAAGCAGCCCACTGACCCGCAGGCCCCCGAGCCGCATGGGCCCTCCCCGCCACGCCCCCGACTCGGGACGCGGGCTTCGGCCAGGTCCTTCTGTTCTTCGCACGCTCTCTGCTGCCGGGGTTTGCACCTGCTGTCCTTCCGCCGTCTTCCCCTCTGGCACACTCATCATCCAAGCCCAGCCCCAGCTTCCTGGAGGAAGTCTTCCTGGATGATTGGTAACCCCAGGGGTACACTCACTGCTGTTTAGTCGCTCAGTCATGTCTGACTCTTGTGACCCTGTGGACTCTAGGCCGCCAGGCTCCTCTGTCCATGGGATTCTCCAGGCAAGAAGACTGGAGCGGGTTGCCATTTCTTTCTCCAGGGGATCGTCCTGACCCAGAGATCACACCTGCGTCTCCTGCTTGACAGGCGGATTCTTTACCTCTGAGGCCCCTGGGAAGCCGATGCATTCACTCTTAAAATGTGCTAATATTACCTCTACTTTACAGATGTGGAGGAAACTGAGGCTCAGAGTTTAAAGAACTTTTGTCTTTTTACTGATTATATTAATGACACTCCTGAACTTCATGGGTGCCAATATGTGTAGGCACATTTCCCCAGAGGCATCCTGCTGACATCCTCAACCACGCCACACTGCCTCCTTTCCGAGGCCCGGCAGACGGGGGTGTGGCACCGCGCTCGGCCCGGGTGAACACAGCTCAGACCTATGATGACTGTCGTCGCTCACCCGTGCCGCTCAGCGCCTGTGGCTGATGCATGTGTCTCCTCCCGACACCGTTCTGTCTCCCCCAAGTCTGCCTCAATTTTTAGCTTGAACAAAAATCTAATGGACGCTTAAGGGAAAGACTGAAGGCAAAAGGAGAAGAGGGTGGCAGAAGATGAGATGGTTAGGTAGCATCAGTGACTCAGTGGACATGAACTTGCGCAAACTCTGGAAGACGGCGAGAGACAGGGAAGCCTGGCGTGCTGCAGACCCTCGCAAAGAGCTGGGCACGACTTAGTGACTGAACGGGATCCCCTGGTGGCTCAGACGGTAAAAAAAAAAAAAAAAAAAGACACTTTACTTTCAGGTAAACTGTCTGCCTGAAATGTGGGAGACCTGGGTTCAATCCCTGGGTCAGGAAGATCGCCTGGAGAAGCAAATGGCAACCCACTCCAGGATTCTTGCCTGGGAAATCCCATGGACAGAGGAGCCTGGCAGGCCGCAGTCCCTGCGGTCACAAAGAGTCGGACACGACTGAGCGACTTCACTTTAGTGACTGAACGACAACAAGTGGGAAATCAGCTCATGATGATACATTGGGAGTGCAATCTACTTGGCTTTTGCGGTAGCCAGGTAGTAGAGAGGGGCCGGGGGAGGGAAGAAGAAGGAGGTGAAAAAGGGGACCGAGGGGACTCCCTTGGTGGCCCAGTGGCTAAGACTCCACGCTCCCAGTGCAGGGGGCCCCAGGTTTGATCCCTCTTCAGGGAACTAGGTTCCACATGCTGCAAGGAAAGATTTCAAATGCCACAACTAAAAAAAGATCCCACATGCTAAAGCTAACACCCGGCACAGTTCAGCTCAGTCGCTCAGTCATGTCTGACTCTTTGTGACCCCATGGGCGGCCGCACACCAGGCCTCCCTGTCCATCACCAACTCCCGGAATTTACTCCAACTCACGTCCATGGAGTCGGTGATGCCATCCAGACATCTCATCCTCTGTTGTCCCCTTCTCCTCCCACCTTCAATCCCTCTCAGCATCAGGGTCTTTTCAAATGAGTCAGCTCTTTGCATCAGGTGGCCAAAGTATTGGAGTGTCATCTTCAGCATCAGTCCTTCCAATGAACATTCAAGACTGATTTCCTTTAGGATGGACTGGTTGGATCTCCTTGCAGCCCAAGGGACTCTCAAGAGTCTTCTCCAACACCACAGTTCAAAAGCATCAATTCTTCCGTGCTCTGCTTTCTTTATGGTCCAAATCTCACATCCATACATGATCACTGGAAAAACCATAGCCGTGGCTAAACGGACCTTTGTTGACAAAGTAATATCTCTGCTTTTTAATATGCTCTCTAGGTTGGTCATAACCTTTCTTCCAAGGAGTAATCATCTTTTAATTTAATTGAAGCATCAATTAAATTGAAATAAAATTAAAAAGACCTGGTGTCATTTAATTGAAATGAAATTAAAAACACCTGGCACAGCCAAATAACTCAAGTAAATATTTTTAAAAGGGGAGAGGAAGGAGAGAATTGAGAGATCAAGGGATTTCCTTGACATTTGCAGCCAAGATTCTGCACATAAGATTGGCACTGCTTCTCTGAATAGTAGAAAATCATTTATTTTATTTATTATTATTTAGGTCAACTATTACTTATAAGCAGGGCTTCTCAGGTGGCTCAGTGGTAAAGAACCTGGCTGGTAATGCAGGAGATGAGAGTTCAGGCCCTGGGCTGGGACGATCCCCTGGAGAAGGAAATGGCAACCCTCTGTGGTATTCACTGAAAGCCCATGGACAGAGGAACCTAATGGGCTACAGTCCCTGGGGTCACAAAAGAGTCAGACATGACCGAGCGACTAAACAATAACAACTAGTTGTAAGCAGGTGGTGGAATGGAGCTGCATTATGCGCACCTTTAACCCCGAGACTCAACCACCCTGGCTCAGAGCAGAGGGCTGATGAGGACAGAAGGGAAAACCAGTGATTGTAGCAGCCTCACTAGTGAGCGGACCTGAGCAGTGAGATCCAGCCCTTGTCCCACTCGCCCTGCACGTCTCAAAGCGTGAGCACCCTGCTGCTCTCTGCATGGTTCCAGCAGTGGAGGGTGTACATTTTTCACAGGCCTGCGAGCCTAGTCTCTAAGCCGTGTCTGACTCCCTGCGACTGCATGGACTGTAGCCCGCCAGGCTCCTCTGTCCATGGGACTCTCCAGGCAAGAATACTGGAGTGGGTTGCCATTTCCTCATCCAGGGGATCTTCTCGACCCAGGGATCAAACTCGAGACTCCTGCGGCTCCTGCACTGCGGGCAGATTCTTGGCCACTGAGCCCTGGAAAGCCCTTTTCCATAGGACATAGCCCCGAGACACAAGCTGACCACTTCATGTTGCTTTCAACCTCTTCCAGCCCTGGAGGGAATGCTAACTGGGTGGATTGATGAGAGATGACTTTACGATGTACCTTGGAGAAGGAAATGGCAACCCACTCCAGTATTCCAGCCTGGAGAATCCCACGGACAGAGGAGACTGGCAGGCTACAGTCCATGGGGTTCCAAAGAGTCAGACACAACTGAGCGACTTCACTTTCCCTTGTGGATGGTTTAAGGGATGTGAAAGTCATCATAACTCTAAGCAGTGCTTGCATTTCTTGGCTGACCTGAGAACTCTGTTTGCCAACGTGACTCTCCTCTAAAGAAACACAGTTCCCCGCCTTGTAAACCCCACCTTGCTATCGGGAAAGACACAAATTTGCAGGGATTAACTTCAGCTGCGCTTTTATCCTCTCGGCATCATCTCCTAGCTCTGTGACTTGACTTTACTCAGCTTCTCTGGGCCTCGGCTGTTAAATAGAGACTGAAATACCTCGTGTGCACATGTTCTTCTGGGAATAAGAAAATTCGGCATATCCTAGCTCAGTACTTGGCACGGAGCAGGGGCAGTGTCAGAACTCCTGTTTCTGGGTCAAAAGGCAAAAACGAAAAACAGCTCCCTTTGTAAGGATTGTTGTTGTCTAGTCACTGAGTCACGTCTGACTCTCTGCAGCCCCACGGACTGTGACCCGCCACGCTCCTCTGTCCACGGGATCTCCCAGGCAAGAATCCTGGAGTGGGTTGCCATTTCCTCCTCCAGGGGATCTTCCCGACCCAGGGATCAAACCTACACCCCTGCATTGGCAGAAGAATTCTTTACCCACTGAGCCCTCAGAGAAACCCTTACACCTCATTTTGAAAGTCCTTTTTTGAACTCCTAGGAACTGACTACACATTCCCTTTGGCCTTCACAGAATCTCACTGGATTTCAGTAACAAGCTAAAATTCACAAATATTTAATCAGGGCGATTAACGTTTATTGTGTTCGAGGCCCTTTCCTGTACCTTGTCTCAACTACTCCTCAGATAGCCTTGCCAGGGAGCTAGGAATCTTCCCACATTTTAATAAGCTTTTCACGCAGGGAAACACTGTAAGCAGGAAACTGAGACCCAAATCCCAATCTCTGATTCCACAGGCCTTACTCACTTCCCTACACTTTGTGGCATTCAGAGAACGTGGAAATGGGTGGGTCAAATTAATCTATCAGCATGTATTTGGCAAAGCCTATTGAACAACTTTGGTTGAAAGCCAAGGCTCCATTTGTGATTCAGCCTAATTTGTTGAACTTTCTCTAATCGCCTGAATCGGACATTGACCCAAATGACATCATCACTTATGCTGTCCGTGATTGTTCTGTCCTGCAGAGCCTCCCTTTATCAGCAAAAAAATATTTGCAGAACGCTTAATCATCTGGATGCCTCGCACCTGGGCTTTCCAAGTAGCATCAACTCCCAAGTACCGATGCTTTAAAATTAATTAAAAGATTTGCACACTAGCTGCTTTTTCCTCCCAAATACATTTGCTTTAGT